AAGAAAGGATATCAGAGATAGAAGATCAAATCAATGAAATAAAGCGAGAAGTCAAGATTAGAGAAAAAGGAGTGAAAAGAAATGAACAAAGCCTCCAAGAACTATGGGATTATGTGAAAACACCTAACCTACGCTTGATCAGCATACCTGAATGTGACGGGGAGAATGAATCCAAGTTGGAAAACACTCTTCATGATATTATCCAAGAGAACTTTCCCAACCTAACAAGGCAGGCCAACATTCAAATCCAGGAAACACAGAGAATACCACAGAGATATTCCTCAAGAAGAGCAACCCCAAGGCACATAGTTGTCAGATTCACCAGGGTTGAATTGAGGGAAAAAAAAATCCTAAGGGCAGCCAGAGATAAAGATTGAGTCACCCACAAAGGAAAGACCATCAGACTCTTGGCAGAAAACCTGAAAGCTAGAAGGGAGTCGGGCCAATATTCAACATCCTTAAAGAAAAGAAGTTTCAACCCAGAATTTCATATTCAGCCAAACTAAGCTTCATAAGTGAAGGAGAAATAAAATCTTTTATGGACAAGCAACTGCTGAGAGATTTCATTGCTACAAGACCTGCCTTAAAGGAACTACTGAAGGAAGTACTAAACAGGGAAATGAACAACCAGTACCAGCCACCACAAAAACGTACCAATTGGTAAAAATAATGACATAATGAAGGAGCCATGTCAATTAACGGGCAAAACAACCAGCCAGTAACTGGTTGACAAAATTTAACTGAGGAGGTTGAATATCTCTGCACAGAAAACTTCACAATATTGGTGAATTAAATTGAAGAAGACCTATATAAATCAGAAGGTAGCTTATGTTCATGGTCTGCCAGAATTAATATTGTTAAAATGTTTATATTACAATGAGGGGAACAACACACACTGGGGCCTGTGGGGGAAGAGTGGGGAATGAAGGGAGGGAGAGCATTAGGAAAAAGAGCTAATGCATGCTGGGCTTAATACCTAGGTGATGGGTTGATAGGTGCAGCAAACTACCATGGCACATGCCTACCTATGTAACAAACCCGCACGTCCTGCACATGTGCCCTGGAACTTAAAAAAAAGTTTATACCTGCAGACTCAATGCAATCCCTATCAAAATTCCAAGGTCATTTTCCACAGAAGTAGAAAAAAATCCTAAAATTTGAATGGGACTACAAAAGGACCCCAAATAGCCAAAACAATCTGGAGCAAAGGGAAAAAGGAGGCATCACACTATGGAATCCCCAAATATCTTACAAAGCTACAACAATCAAGGCAGCATGGAACTGGCATAGAAACGGGTACAGTGATCAGTGCAACAGGGATGAAAACAAAGAACGAAACACACACGTTTATGATGAGCTGATTCTCAACAAAGGTTCCAAGAACATATAATAGAGAGAGGGCAGTCATTTTGGATAAATGGTCCTGGGAGAAGTGAGTCTCCATGAAGTGTGGCGGTCTGGATCCTCCCTGGGCAGGTGGATGGTCAGAGCAGCACACAGGCTCACTCAGCTGAAGGTTCCCTTTCCTGGCAGGAAGGAGGCTTCGTTATTTCCTGTTGGAGGGTCAAGCTGTGCAGCTGGGCACAGGTCACATCCTGGAATATTCATATGAAGAGGAATGAAATCAAATTATCTTACCCATATACAAAACAGGCAGAAGAAAACCTTCAAAAAGTTGGTTTGGGCAAGGTGTTTTGGATATGACCCTGAAAACACAAGCAACAAAAGCACAAATAGACAAAGGGAGTGGCTTCAAACTAAACAGCGTCTGCACAGCAAACAACAGAATAAAGAGACAATGCAGAAATGGGAGAAAATGGTTTCATGCTCTATACCTAATAAAGGGTTAATATGCAAAAACATGTGAGGAACTAAAACAACAAAACAGCAAGAAACCAAAAACTACTTGAAACACACGCAAAGAAGACGTACAAATGGTCAGCATGTATATGAAAAAGTGCTAAGGCAAAAGCTTTGTCTATTGAGTTGATAATTTTTGTTAATTTTGTTAAAACATTGAATTACATTGATTGAGTTTTTTTTATTTTACTTTAAGCTCTGGGGTACATGTGCAGATCTTGCAGGATTGTTACATAGGTACACACATGCCATGGTGGTTTGCTGCCTCCATCCCCCGGTCACCTACATTAGGTATTTTTCCTAATGTTATCCCTCCCCAACCTCCCCACCCCCTGCTATGCCTCCCCTGAGCTACCCTTGCTTTTCATAAACAAAATTAAAAAATAATAAAAACAGTGTGGTCATGATATATCATCTATTTTATAGAGACATGAATCTTACTTGCTAATATTTGTTAAGGGATTTAAATTTCTTTGAGAGATCTTCTATGACTTTCCCATTTTGTAGTTTCCTTGTCAGGTTTTGGTATAAATTTGTTCCTAGTCTGATAAAATTTATTTGTGTAAATATATACAAAATATTCTCAGGGAAAATTTAGGCAAGTTTGGGGTATGGGGTGTGTGTGTGTGTGTGTGTGTGTGTGTGTGTGTCTTGAGTGTTTGAAAAAGCCACCAACAAACCTTCCTGAAGTGACATTTACTTTGTGGGAACATTTTTGATTACAGGATTAGTACATTTTATATATGTTTACATGTGATGATTCAGATTTTCTATGAATCCTTAAGTTCATTAAATAAACTGTAGTTTTGAATATTTCACCTATCCCATCTGCATTTTCTGTTATGTCAGTGCAGAATTGCTCAGTTTTCTTTCACCTTTGTAAAGCTGTGTGTAGGGTCTGCAGTGCTGCCTCCTATTTTGTTCCTGTATGGAAATGTGTGCCTGCTCTTTTTTTTTTTTCCCCCTCATTGTGGCCAAGATTCATGTATCATTAATGTTTTCGAGAATAAACCTTTTGACTTTATTACTTTTTCTCTATTTTTTGTTTGTCCTCATTAGAAGCTCCTATTTTCCCATGTCATTGGTTTGATATGTAATATTTACATGATCAATCAATTTAAAAACATTTTCAGACTTCTGTTTTGTTTTACTAGTTAACTCATTGTGAACTGAGAGGCCTGCTTCTTTATTTTGATAATACAGGGATACTATTTATCTTTGCAGAATCAGGTGACTCCCAAAGTTCCCAGAATCTTCTGGTGGTCTATGTTAGGGGTCCAGGCTGGCTGGGGTTCAATGGTGCCCACTGGGGGCAGCTTCCATGCCTTCTGGGGTCCTGAGTCTTCATGGTGTGTAGAGTCTGGGTCCTCCCTGGACTAGTGGATGGCCAGAGTGGCATAGATGCTGGGCTCAGCTGGAGGTTCCCCTGCTTGGGACGAAGGAGGCTCAGTTGCCTCCCGCCTGAGGGTCAAGCTGCGCAGCTCGGCGTAGGTCACATCCTGGGGGGCTTCAGATGCAGCAGCCTGCAGAGGCGGGAGAGTGAGAGGAAAGGAACGTGGTGGGGGTGAGAGAGAGGAAAGGACCTGCTGACTGTCCTGCCTGTCCTTTTCTGCTTGTGTGTCCCATGTGTTCAGGAATTCCCCAGACAGGGGAAAGAGGGGAGGCCATTTCTCTCCTAGGTCTGGAGTGATTCACCTTAGCATAGGTCACTGCATGGGGTCTTCATCATGTGGGCTTTGCTGGAGAGACAGTGGTGGGGGGTGTCCTTAAGTCCCCCTGACCCCCTGGAGTCAGTTTTCCCACTGTTCCCAGAGTGATCCATTTACATTCCTTTCCTGATGGAATTTCAGGGACGAGCTAAGGCCGTGGAGGGTCTGGCTGCTCCCTCCCTGCGGTTCTGGCCTCTCCTCCTCACTCTGAAGGCTGTGGAGGGTCTGGCTGCTCCCTCCCTGCAGTTCTGGCCTCTCCTCCTCACTCTGAAGGCCGCAGAGGGTCTGGCTGCTCCCTCCCTGCGGTTCTGGCCTCTCCTCCTCACTCTGACCTTGCCCACTTGGCGGCAGCCTCACACCTGCCTTCCCGCAAGAGCTCACTGCTGCCTCGGGGCCTTTGCACTGCTGTTTCCTCTGCCTGCAGGGGCTCATCCATTAGAGGATGGTGTGGCCCTCTCTGTCCAGGCTTCTCAGATGACAGCCCTCCCCTTACCATTCAGACTGGCCCCACTGCCCCGCACTCTCTGCCTTTTCCCTGGTTTATTTTCCTCACAGCACGTCACACTCCTGGACACTGTGCGTTTATTTGCATTTTGTCGCCCACCATGAGGTGAGCTCAGGAGGGTGGGGGCGGCTTTGCTCCCTGCTGTGTCTGCAGCTCCCACGGGTAGCCCCATCCACAGTGAGCTCCTGGGAACACTCGCTGGGTGAATGAATGAAGGGGAGCCCAGGGCACCGGGGTGGTTCATTGATCCCTCATCCTCCCGAGGCCTGGGGAGCCCTCTAACAACCAGACGGCCGAACAGAGGATGAGGAGCAGGAAGGGCACCCGGGAGGAGGCCCACGAGGTCCCAGGACACCAGGAGAGAGTGAGGTCACAGCAGGCGGGAGGCAGCATGCTGGACACAGAGGGTCCACCCTGGATGGTGCTGAGAGCCGGGGAAGGAGGACAGAGAAGTCCTGCTGGGTTACATCCAGCACCAGGAGGCCTTTGGTGCCCGGGACAGGGGCGGGGTCTCACCTGAGTGTCCAGCTCCACCTCGTCCTCAGGCTGTGTCTCCTTCACGGCAGCATCTGCTGGGTAAAAGCAAGGGGTTTATCTCCTGGGAAGGTTCCCTGGGACCTCTCAGCCCCGCCAGCCCCTGCCCAGCTCCCAGATGGGGCAGCTGAGATCCAGGGAGGGGCTGTGATGTCCCGAGGTCCCACAGTGTGAGGTGAGATCCTGTCACCCTGAGCCCCAGACCCCTTCCAGCCTGTGCCCTTTTCCCATTGCTATGGAAACTGTGGGCCCCCGTCTCCCTCCTGGCTGGGGTCACCTCTTCCTCTCACTCACAGAGGGTTTCTTCTTGGGTGTCGGCAGCTGGGCTGGACCTAGGAGAGGACATGGGAGCTTTAGGGGCAGTGTATGGGCCGGGGTGGGTGGGAGTCTGGGGTCTTCGGGCAGAATTACCTCCTCTGCAGGCCTCTGCCTGTGGGTTCTGGCTCCACAGCCCCTGCAGAATGTTGGAAATCAGCCTCTCTCTGGGCTGTGTGAAGAAGGACAGAGTCTCAGCCCTGGGAACACCTGCCCTGCACACACAGCTCAAAGGTAAGGAAGGAAACCTGGAAACACTCCTGCTTCCATGCTCCAAATGTCTCAGATGGAGAGAGCCCGAAGGACACTTCACAACTGTATGTGGGGACTGACATGAAGTGCTTTCTCGATTCGCCTGGTGAGAAATGCTAGAACAGTTTCTCAAAGCTGCATTTTTCCAGCGGTTTGGATTCCCTCTGGCTGGTGCCCTGAGCCCACCCTTGGTTGGCCCATAGGATCTGCCTCTTCCCTACTCACCTGATGTCCAGCGTTTGCCCTGATGTCGACGTCGGAGGACGAGGAAGAGGAGGAGGAGGAAGAGCAGCAGGAGGAGGGCCACTGAGACCCCGGTCGCAACCCTCAGGTGCTTTCTCAGACCTTGAGCACAATGACGTCAGGAATGGGGTCATCACACCACTGACTGAGCGCCTACTGTGTGCAGGTAACTGCTCGGCCTCTTATTCACCACCTCCAACGCCCACAACAGTCGTGCACCATCAAAATGACACATCCACCCCACCCACTTTACAGATGAAAAACAGGCTCAGAGAGGGGAGTTGCCTGCCCCAGGCCCCCCAGCTAGGCAGCAGCAGAGCTGGGAAGGGAATCTGGGAGTCTGAGCTGCAGCCCTTGTTCCCTGCACCTGAGCTGAGCCTAGGAGCTGCAGGGAAAGAGCCTGACCTCCTGAACCACACGCCCTGCTCCCCTCCCCTGCCCCAGGTCACCGTCACTGCTGCAGGTGGGACAGGACAGGCCCCTGTGGAATCAGGTCTGGAGGCTTCCCTGGTAGGCCTCCTCCCCCAGGAGGTCACAGCTGGGAGTCAGAGCTGAAAGGAACTTTCCCACCCCGCAGGCCTCTCTCCTTTATACTTGGAGAAACTGAGGCCCAGGTGGGGGAGGGGCCTGTCCACGTCACCATCTCCAGAGGAGCCTTAATCCAGTGACAGAACCCACCCCTGCCTCCCCTGGACCCTGGCCACCTGCCACTCAGGGACCCTCACTCACCACTTTGGGGATCTGAATCCGGGGGAGTGACAAGCTGGTCCCCAGGGCCTCCTGGGTCCGGACGCAGAGGTGAGGGCTGGGGCTGTCCTTCTCTCCACATCAGCCCAGCTGCTCCTCCCCCAGGCTGGGCCCCAACATCTCCCTCTACTTCAAGCCCCAACTCCTCAGCAGCCCAGCCTCAGCCCTGGGAGCCTGTACCCCCTTCTGTCTCTGCCCAGCTCTCTGGAGAGAAGTCTATGCTGAGTCCTTGAGGGGAACGGGATCCTCTGGGAGACTGGGGACTGCCTTGGGGGAGGCCGCACTCTCTCCCAGACAAGAGGCCTCAGTTACTCACCAGGTGTGGGGGTCGGACCGGTGGGTGGGGGGCCGGGGCCCCAGGAGAGTCCTGGGTAAAGAATGAGAGGAGGCGGAGGAGCTGGGTCTTGCCTGAAGCCTCCACCTCAAACCAAATTTCTCCACATTGGCCCTGTGGCCCTCCAGTTCCCTCCCCCACCCTCCTCTTCAGGATGCTGGCGATGCCGCTGAGGGTAGGTGTGCCTGGGAGGGCCTCATTGTCCTCCTTCCCTCTGAGGGCTGAGGCCCCTCTGGCTGAGCTTCCTTCAGACCCCCTCCCTCCATCCTAGCCCAGAGCTCTCCTGGGGCAAGGCCTGAGCTGAGCTTTGAGCTCAGAGAGGACAGGGTCAGGGCTCTCACCTGAGACCACGAGCTTCAGGGGCTCGCTGGGGTGAGACAGCAGGTAGGGGGAGAAGTTGCGTGAGCCGTAGCACCTGTAGGTCCCCGCATGGGCTGAGGTCACAGGACTCATGGGGAATTCAGCCTGGTCCTGATCAGATTGGTACTTTGATCTCAGACGCACAGGGGCATCAGCTGCTCCCTCCTTGGTCAGAAGGAACGTGTCCATCCACCCCTGTGACTGACACAGCAGGGTCACATTCTCGCCTGAGGCCACCGTGGGGCCCGGCTGCACTGAGAGGGAGGGTCTGGCACGGATCTGCCCTGGAGAGAAGAGGATGGGTGAAGGGCTGCCCCGCCTTGTTCTGAGCTGAGACCTCCCCAGGCCTCTCTCTGGGATCCTCAGTCTCTGTCTCTGTTTTCTCTGAGTCTCCCCCTCCCGTCTCATCCCCTGTCTCTGTCTGTCTCTCCCTCCCTTGGGACCCCCACCTCTCATCCCAGCCATCACCACCTGGGCTCCCTGGCAGGGCCTGCGCAGAGCCTGGGTCCCTGACTGAACCCGCTGGGCTTCTCACCTGCAATCAGGATGTCCAGGGGGTCACTGGGGGCCGACCACTCGGAGGAGAGGTTGTGGGCACCGGAGCATCTGTACTGGCCCCCATGGGAGCGGCTCACAAGGCTCAGGGTGAAGTTGGCCTGGGAGAACCCAGCCTGGAGCTGCCGGCCAGGGCGCTGGAGGAGGTCAGGTTCTCCCTCCTTGTACAGGGTGAACCTGTCGTAGCCGACATCAGAGCCACACTGGAGGGTCAGGGTCTCCCCAGGCTCCACGACAGGACCCGGCTGCGCTGAGAGTGATGGCTTCTCAGAAACACCTGGGAAAGGTGGTCATGGTCTCCAGGAGTCGACCCTCAGGCTCCCCACAAATCCTCCCTCTCCCCCGGCCTCATCACTGCACATCTTCCTGTGTCTCTGGCCCAGGAGCCCTGAGCCCTCTCACCCCAACATCATCCCACCTGGAGTTGCCCTGAGACGCGGCTCCTCCCCACCTGCCCAGAGACTCAGGGATCTCCAGGCAATGCTGTGAATTTCTCACCTGGGACCAGCAGCTCCAGGAGATCACTGGGTAAAGACCACAGATAGGGAGAGTGAGAGTAACAACCATAGCACCTGTACGTCCACCTGCGACTTGGGCTCACGGGGCCCACAGAGAAGACGGCCCGGGATGACCCACGGGTACGGGCCTGGGAGTTCAGGCATGGCGGGTGTTCATCTTCTCCTTCCTTACACAGAATGAAGCCATCAAATGCCACCTGTGAGCCACAATGGAGGGTCACATTTCCTCCTGGGGTCACCACAGGGCTGGGCAGGGCTGAGAGGGTGGGTTTGCTGTAGGCTCCTAGAAGAGAAGCAGGCACCGTGTTAAGTGGGGCTCACACCTCCCACATCATCCCCAGGGCTGAGAGGGGAAACACCGCTGAGAGCCAACCCTCTTACTGGACTGAGCCTGGGGCTGGGACCCCTGAGTGTCTCTTACCTGTCACCACCAGCTCCAGGGGGTCACTGAGCTCTGACCATCGAGTGCGTCCGCGATACTGACAGCGATACCGCCCTGCGTGTTCCCCAGCGATGGACTGGATGGGGAACTGGCCCTTCTTCACAAGATCCTGTGAGATCTGCCTAATCCAGGATGCTGGTTTTTTTTCTCGATATAGACGGTACTCCTGGGTCTCCAGGCTCCCCCGACACCTGAGGGTCACTGGACTCTCCTGGGTGATCACAGGGCCTGGCTCAGCCCAGAGGGGGGGCTTTTGGAGGGTCCCTGGCAGGAAATCAGCGGTCAGATTCTAAGTCATTTCCCACCTAACAGATCTCAGCTATCAGCCCAGGACCCTCCAGACCCCCATCAGTCAGCCCAGAACTGCTATTCTCCCCGGCTGCATGGGTGTGGGCCTTGTCCCCAGTAAGGAGAAGAACCTGGTGATAGACTCACCTGCCTGCACGTGGGTCCTGGAGCCCAGACTCACCCCTAGAAGAGAGTTCCCTGTGAGAGATTGGCCCCTGAAGCCTGAGCAGGTCCTCCCCTCCCTGGAGTCTTTGTGAGCCCCTGGGGTCTCCCCATGGACCAGAGTTTGGCTGTGGGGTGAGGTCCCTCCTAGGTTAAATCTCCCTTCCCTCTTCAAATCTCACCTAGACAGAGCAGGACCATGAGGATGGGGGTCATGGCGTCTCCTCCCACTGCCCTGCTCTGCGGATGGATGAGCCCTCCGTGCTGGCAGGACGGAGACACACAGAGCGTGGACACTTGGAGGCTAGGTCGTTCTTGTCATGGGGTTGTGTCATCTGCAGCCACACAGGAAGCAGAACTGCCCTCCCCAGGAGCCTGGCTCTCATTTCTTTAGGGCTGAGGTGGGGGTGGGGGTGGGCCCAACCCCTCTGCAGACATTTCAGACTGTAATGGAGTCTTTCCTGACCCCCAGCCACTGTCTGTCTGGTTTGTTTTAATCTCACTGGGAGCTGGGATGTAGCAGCAAATAGAACTGGTGCTTTTCTGCATCTGCCCTTCCAGATGAGGGTGAGCAAAGGCTTCCCCTTCCTTCTCACAGCCTCCCCATGGGGTCTCCCTCCCTCCCTCACCCCGTCCATCAGCACAGCAGTGCAGGGGCATTACCATAGCTGTCATCTCTCCAGCCCTGGAGATGCTTCAGGGAAGATGCAGGTCCATGCTGCAGGCAGGCTCAGGTCAGCAGAGACACACCTGACACCTGGCCGTGCAGTCCAGGCTGAGCTGCATGTGGCCGTGGGCACAGAGAAGAAATGCAGGGAAATAGGAAGAAAAGTTGACTTCTTTCCTGGCACTGGATTGTGGGTTTTCTTTCGACAAAATAGTTCCCTTCTCAACTTCCCCCTTTTAATAATGAGTCATCTCATCCTGCATCTGTGACTTTTCTATTGGGTGTCTGCAGTGAGGGGATTGGGTAATGAAGTTTAACCTGAGAATTTCAGGAGTTTGGTTCAGGGCAGGGCTTGTTTCTACATCATTAGCAAAAGGGTTAATTTTTCAGTGTTTTCTAGAAACCGCCTAAGGTGCGTTATCAGTACCTAGGAATGTTCAAGACCTCAGCTTGAGTTCAAGTCTGCAGGTAAAATATGCATCAGTCCAGCTCACAGACCAGTCATGGCACTTTGTCTGTCTCTCAGAACAAAGAAAAAAGTGGAGGAAACCGTGGGACCCTAGGGAGACCATGGCTCCCCCTCTTCTGTGTTTGTGGACAGAATCTGGGATAGCTCTGCTCAGTGACCGGGGCCACACTCAGCACTGAGCCACCTCCCCCAGGTGCACATGACACGGAAGTGCTTTATCATTGTTGGGCCAGACATCTCTCGCACATGGGTGTGAGGCTCACATGGGCCCCACCGTGTCGGGCATGTCACGGAGCTGATTCTAAGCTTGGGAACGTGGACACTGCAGGGCAGGAGTGGCTACAGCAATACCTCAGGAGTTTTCGTTCCTGAGTCAGCCCTAGGAGAAACTCTGTATGGAAGATCAGGTGTGTGAGATGAAACCACCCCAGAGGAATGAAAATCACAGAATCCATTAGAGAAAAAACAGGCAATTATAGAAATGCATTGGACAGATATTGTGAGATGAAAAATAGTACGTTATATTAACATATTTAGAAATAATTTCATCAAGAACAAGACACAGCTAAAATGATAAATATTATATTGGTGTAGGATATTACTAAAATTTTCATAAGTCTTAGAAAAGGTAATTAATGCACACGAGAAGCAGAATGACAGGAGTGAGCAGATTCTCTCCGTGTGTCACACCTTCAGAACGAAGGAAACAAGGAGCATGTTAGTAAATACCTGCAAAGAAAATAGTTGACATTTTTACAGAAATGAAGAAAGAACATAAACTTAATGTGCACAAATTTATAAATGAAATGAATGTCTTCACTATGGTAGAGTGAAGGATATTTAGAATAAATAAAAAGTAATTTTAAAACTACTGGAGAAAATAAAAATTATTCTGAAATGAATGACAAGCACATTGGGACTGGATTTCCCAAAGGAAAAAGTCGTGGAAAAAATGACTGGGGTCAGGTTCAAGTGGGCTGAACGGAAACAGCTGGCACATGCCTCTCTCGTTAAGAGGAACCAAATGGTGAGTAAATACCAAAAAACCAAAGGGATCTTCTAAGAGAGCGCACTGGGGCTCAGCAGAGGATGAGGACACGGAAAGCACAGGGAAGAAAAGCTGAGAGCCAGGAGAGGTTCCTAACATGGAGAAGGGGTGAGTGAGTGACAGATTCCCTAACATGGAGAAGGGGTGAGTGAGTGACAGATTCCCTAACATGGAGAAGTGGTGAGTGGGTGAGAGTCTCCCTAACACTGGGAAGGGGTGAGTAGGTATGAGGCCCCTGGGATCCACAACCCTGTCTTGGCCCTTTACAATCCTGCTCACAGAAGAGCCCCTGACCCACCTTGGCCTGCAGAGGCACACAAGGAGTTCCTGGAGATTTGGCAGAGGTGCCTCCGGAGCCCACATGGAATCCCACAGGCTTCTGATCGCTGAGCAGACTGGGTCCAGCTGCCGCTGCCTTAGCAGGGAGGGAGGAGGCCAGCCCTCTCTGGGCTCCCAGGATAAATATGACAGCTGGGCCACAGAAGCAGCCAAGCTGAGCACCCCATGGCTCCCTCACTTCTGTTGCTTCCTGCTAAATGGGGCTTCCTTCCTGCTAAATGGGGCTTCCTTCCTGCTAAATGGGGCTTGCCAGCTTCAGGGCCACAGTGCACCCGTCCTGCCCCCACCTGAACACTGTGGCCCTGGCTGTGTGCCCTCTGAAAGCCCAATGCTCAGAGGCCCCTGACAAGCCCTTTGAATTCACTGCCACCTCTGCCTCGGCCCCTGCTGCCCCAGGCCCAGGGATGGAGTAGGGAGACCTGGCACATTTGCCTGTCCCCAGAGCAAAACTGAGTGCCACTTCTTCAGGAGGGAAGTGTGAGCAGGCCCTGTGCCCAACAGCTGCCAGTCTCCAGTGCCCCGGCCGAGGGGCCCTGCCCTCTCCAGTCACAGACCCACCGCACAGCCGCCATGCCCCCACATGGACATTTCAGCCGAAGACCCCAGCTCTTCTGATAGCCCAGTCCCCACAGGCCTGTGATCTGCCCCTGGGCTCTACCACCTGAGTGTTCTGCCTGCCCCACCTGAGAGTTCTGCCGGTGACCTGGGGACCGGCCCATCGCTCCTCATCACAGCCGGCTCCTGAGCCCTGGAAGAGCTGAATCCCAGCACAGCCCCTTTAGGAATCCCAAACGCTGTCCAGCTGGTCACCTAGAGGCCTGTGATCCGGGGAACTGCCAGCCGTTTCCCACTCTGCTGGCACCTGACCACTCACCCCAGGGCCTGAGGTCGGGTCCCCCCAGCCAGCAACACCACAACTGACGTCCACTTGTCCAGCCAGAAAGGCAGAAGCCCCACATCCCAGCTACATGAAGCAGCAGTGTGACTACGTCAGACACAGGCAGCCACTAAGGGGTCTGCACTGCGCTGAGTGAGGAGGTTCTACCTTAGGATGATTCCTGCAGAGAGTGGCAGGCAGGTGTTTCCCACGGCTCTCAGCCACACTGTGGCCTGGGGAGGGACAACAGTGTGTGTCTGAACAGAGACTCATGAGCCCTGGAGCAGGCGTGTGATAGGGAAACAGTTAATGTTCCTCCCTATGGGACTGGAAGTGGATGTAGCCCCTTCACCCCCAACAGGGACCTCAGGGCATTTCCCACCTGCTGCCCCAGCCACACGCATCAGGACTGTGGCCGGCACTCATCATTAGGGTATTTGTGGGCAAACCAGGGGTTTCGGCTCTGCCCAGCTGCATTTCCTCACCCCGTGGAATAGAAGCTCAGGGCTCCAGGCACTCCACGGTCCAGCCCTTCACCTGAAACAACAGACAGCACCTCACAGGAAGCAGACAGCTCCATACCCACCTGCTGGTGCAGAGGCTGGCTCTTCCCCTTAAGCACCAGCCCCCGGCCTGCAATTTGAACTGCACAGCCCAACACAAACCCTGCTGCAGAAGCGCCCAAGACCATGGAGAAAAGCCAAAAGACCCTTCCCAACATGCTCCACAGTCACACTCCCTGCGGGCTGGGGGAAAATGTGCAAAGAAACCCCATCCCAGTGAAAATAAATCCAAAGAGAATGAGTGGCAGCCTCTCCAGATGAGAAGGAATCAGTGTGAGGATTCTGATGTGTGAAAAATCTGAATATTGTGGCACCACCAAAGGGTCACATTCACTCTCTAGCATCAGACCCTGAAAACAATGGAAACTCCAAAAGGATAGAAAAAGAATGAGATTAAGACAGAAACATTACAAAAAAATCAATGGAATAAAGTTGTTTTTTGAAAGTATAAACAATATTGACAGATGGCTGACTACACTAACCAAAAAAGGAGATGATTTAAATAACCACAATCAAAAATGATAAAGTTGACATCGTAACTCACATCACAGAAATACAAAAGATCATCAGAGACGACTCTGAACACCTTTATGCACATCAACTAGAAAACCTAGAGAAAATGGATGAATTACTGGACACATACAACTTCCCAAGATTGCACAGGAAAAAATAGAAACCCTAAGCAGACCAACAACAAGTAATGAAAAAGAATCGGTACTAAAACTTCTTCCAGCAATAAAGCCCAGCAATAGATGGATTCACAGACAACCTTTGCCATATAGACAAAGAAGAGCTGACACCAATCATACTGAAACTATTCCAAAAAAATCGAGGATGGGGATTCTTTCCTAACTCATTATGTGAAACCAGTATCACCCTGATAGTAAAGTCAGACAAGAACTCAACAGAAAAATAAAACCACAGGCCAAGAGACCTGAGGAACACAGATGCAAAAATCCTCAAAAAAATTAACAGACGGAATCTAAAAGTGTATCAATAACATAATTCATCATGATCAAGTTGGCTTTATTCCAGGGATGAAAGGGTGGTTCCATATATGCAAGTCAACAAAGGTGACTCATGATATAAACTTGAACTAAGAACAAAAAGCATTTTATCATCTCAACAGATGCAGATAAACTATTCAATAGAGTTCAACATCCCTTCATGATAACATCTCTCAACACACTAGGCATAAAAGAAACATAGCCCAAAATAATAAGAGCCCTGCATGACAAACACAGCCAACATCAAATTGAAGGGGGAGAAGTGAAAATTTTTCCCAAGAAATGGAACAAGACAAGGATATCCACTCTTACCACTCCTATTCAACACAAATCTAGAAGTCCTCACCAGAGCACTCAGGCAACAGAAGGAAGTGCATCCAAATTGGAAAAGAGGAAGTGAAATTAACTGTGTGCTGATGACATGATCATATACCTAGAAAATCCTGAAGATTCTACCAGAAGTCTTGTAGACTTAATAAGTGACTTCAGTAAAGTCTCTGTATACAATATCAAGATACAGAAATCAATAGCCTATCTATACATCAGTACCATTCAAGCTGAGAACCAAATTAAGAACACACAAACACACACACACACACACACACACACACACACACACACACACACACTGAGAAGTATATTTAACCAAGCAGGTGAAAGACCTCTACACAGAGAATGACAAAACGCTGATGAAAGGAATTGTAGGCAACACAACCAAACAGAAAAACATTCCTTGCTCACAAATTGGAAAACCAATATTGTTAAAATGAGTAGATTGCCCAAAGCATACTATAGATTCAACACAATTCCTATCAAATTACAAATGTCATTTCTTTAACAGAATTAGAGAAAAAGCAATTTTTAAATTCATTTGGAACCAAATATTAGCCT